CTTGGTAGTGATGCTTTATTTGAATGTCGACTCTGAGGACAAGAAAGGCAGTTTTCCTTCTTGGGGCTCAGTGCATTTTCTGCCACCCACCAGGTCAGATGTGGACCACACTGGACGTCTGCTTTGAAGCACCTGCACTTCCCGGCTACCCTAATTCTGGCACCTGTAATGATGCATTTCTTTTTGCTTACAGGTGTCCTGGGCAAGTCCCGCTATGTTTACTATGGGAAAAACTCCGAAGGTAACAGGTTTATCCGAGATGATCAGCTCTGAAGACAAACTTGATATGCCTTTGCCCATTTTGTGAAAATCAAAGGAAAAGGGAAGCAAAAATAAAAGGCCAAAGGAAAAAACAATGACCCACTTCGTGTCTCTGTGGGAAGGCTCTGACTTCAGCTGTTGGTACCTTGTGCTGACTTTGCCCAGCCCGTCAAGATCATCCTTCTGCCTTCCACTGAGTGGTCACAGAGAGATCGACATGATTGCCCTTAAGCAGGTCTCATCCACCAGGGTGACAGACGGCGGCGGCGAAGCACCAGGGCTGACAGCGTGAACACCATGATAGATTGCCTGGTCCCTCCATGGCTCACAGGGGAGCAGAGGTCACACCTGGGGCCTCCCCAGGCATGCTCGGTAGCTGCAGCTGAGGTAGAGAGCCTGTCTTCCACTTACCTAGTAAGTCAAGATCCCTCTGATACCACTCTGCTGTAGGTTTCATTTTAGTGGAAGTCACAGATTAGGAGAAGGACCCTCAAATCTTAGCCTTTATATTCCACATATGAATGGCTCAAATGCTCACCCCTCTCCCCTCTCCAACACTTCAGCGTCATCTTTACCCCAGGTGGCCTATGCCATGTCCAGTTTTTCAGAGAACAGAAAGGATAACCTCGCAGCCAAGTCATACATTTCATGGCCAGCTTCGTGTTGCTACCAATCTTATATCTGATTAAATTGCTTTCTCTGAATCCCAGACTACAAAAGCATGGACTTCATCTTATTTCATTCATTTCCAAATCCATTTCTTGTCCTAAACACAATGCAGCAAGAGGAATCTTTCCCAGAAAGAGGATCAGATTGCACCAGGGTCCCTTACTTATTTTTAAACACACACACTTCTAGCTATGCCTATGGCCATATTTGTGCTAGGGGCTGGCTTGCTCCTTCGGGTGCTATTTAAAAGTAGTGAGGTGATGAAAGCTAGAGTGATGGGTCAGGAGGTTGAAAAACAAAATGAAGACTGTAGAAAATATCCACCAGACCACATGATTTTTACAGAAGGCGCAAACCTTTTGAGTTTCATGCCCCCCCCCGGGGGGGGCGCTCAAAAATTAGATCCATAGTTTAGGAGACACTGCTGTGTCTCTGTGCATCCTTGGTTGTATTCTAGCACCAAGGTCACAAGGGAAATAAGCACTATCGTGCTAGTTGGGTGACTGCCTTTTGCTGAACTTATGGGTGCACAAGTCAAATGACTCTGGAAGATGTGGGAAAGACTGGTTTGATGTTTGGCACAGTAGCATTTATTTTTGCTTCTTGTATTTGGACCAGATGTTCATTGTCCTGGGCCCCCCAGTATTAGGACAGCAAAGCCTGGAAGATAATCCTTCCAAGTCACAGCTACCAAGTGACAAGAGAGTTGCTATTGTAAAAGTCCTTGGGGACACAGAATCCCTGAGCTGCCTGAGAAGAACCCTCTTTCTCAGCTCCAGTCCGTTTACATAGCCTCTGGCCTCTGAGTCAACACAGTCCTGGAATGACATGGATTGAGGCTGGCAGGAGTCCCGCTTGTAGATTATACAACCTCCATTAATCAGCTGTTCAGACTAGTTAGCATTAAAATCCTCGAGACCATTAATAATTAGAGATTATTGAATGTTTGCGTACATCTCTCCGACCTATTGATGAGGAGAAAGAATTGAGTACCTTTTCTGTGTCTGATCCACAAAACAGCATTGGGATAACATTTTAAATCACCTGCTCTCAGTCCCACCTTGGCTCTTTGTGCAGGAGCATGAGCACGTGTTTCGTCCATGGCATATTATGGGCAACAGAGCTCTCCACAAGGGCAGCTAGACCAGTCCAGTGTCACATCCAATCTAACGGCACATATATCCTTGTCTTTATAAAAGGCTTTAACCCTGCCTCAAACAATAAAAAAGCACTTGTGAACTGACCACAGAATTTTTCCATCTTTATTTTTCTTACTTGTTTACTTTTCTTAATGTCAGAACCATTTGTATCATGTGCAGGAATGTCTCCCTCCATGTAAGCTTTGGAAGCAAAGAATATTTTTGGAGTGAGTTATTGACCACGTTGTTTCCCTCTCTTCAGCGTGTTTATTTTCTTCCAGAATAGTGTAATAACTTTATTAAGATTAGCTTTAATTATAATCTACGTAAAGGCCATCACTGTGGTATATTCATCTTATTGATAGAATTATAGTGACTTTTGTTTCTCGTAAGCAGGCATAATGATAATGAATTAGTGTTGAGTTGTTTACAACTCCACTGTTTTTTAAGCAAGATCTGCTGTGCTACAGCCTGACTTTGGTCTGAATCGGCAGGGGAGAAGGCCATGTTGTGTGTTTATTTTAAATCTATAGGGATTTCCCAAATCTTGTTTTTCATGGTAGGAAATTAAGAAGGTAATACATTTGAAGCTCAGACATACCTTATACTCCCTTTACCCTTGGTTCTTTCTTTCCTTTCGCCTGTTTTACTGAGTTTATTATTTGGGGATCAGAGCGTCAGATACCCTATCTCCCCTACCCTGGGATGCTGATCTGAATGGAGAGACCCCAGAATGGAGAAGCCACGAAAAGCATGGCCGTTCTGGAATTCTCTAGAGCCTCAGCAATGTCAAGGCGACTATCTGTCTCTCAAGTAACATAATTTTATAGAACAATTTATTCCTCAGGGAATAATGTTTGAGATTGTGGGGAATCCTATTAAAAGTACAACTATTGCAATCATTTGCTTTTACTTTTACCAGCCTTGCTCATAAACCCTCCATCTGTTTGTTGCTTTAAATAGAAGCACATTATAAGAGATTATCACTCAATCAGGCTGCATGCCTGAGTGTGGTGTGTTTTCACATATTCATGTACACTAAGGAATAAACTGCAGATACTGGATGAAAGGGTGTGTGTATGTGTGTGTGTGTGTGTGTGTGTATGTGTGTGTGTGTTTCCAGCAGAGATGTATCTTGCACATTTTTCAAGAGAAAAAGTCTTTCTTGCTGGTTCTAAGAAGTGTCCTGGCTGTCTTTCTCTTCTTTGTTAATATGCAGATCAAAAACAATCCACAGGGCTCTTTTCATCAAAACAATAACACTCTTCAGAACTTGCTACTTCTGAGGGGAGCCTAAATCACATCTGTGTGGCTGTCTGTGGCACGGGAAGGACTCACCAGGGCTACTCCGTGTCATCCTTCCCTCACACCTCATCCAGCGTGACCTTTTGCTAGCTGCTGTTCCAATTTCGTTTCCAAGATGCCACCTTCACTGAACAAAGGTGTTACTGTCACTTAATCTTGGCCTCTCTAACTTGTCCAAATACCATGTTGTAACCTACTTGGAGTAAGAGAGGGCGATGAAACCAGAGGAACCCAAAGCTCGCTGGTCATTTGTATGGCAAGGCCATCAGCCCTTAGTGCTTTACATATGTTACTTCTAGTGAATCAGACATCACTTATGGGATGTCAAGAATAGTAAGACAGAACCCTCTGTTCAAAAATATTGTTTTTCTTCAAGTTTATCTTAAACTTCCAAGTATTGCTAGTACCCACTTGGATAATTATAATTCTAACTTTCTATTTGTTACTTTCTGGGTAGGCTTGCTAATGAATTCTGTTTATATACGTTAACATATCAGTAGGTGTTGATTCTTTTAAAGCAGCAAGGAACATGACCCAAAGAATGAGCCAGAATAAGGGAATTTTGCTGAGAGAGAGAGAGAGGAAGAGGTCTAAGTATAGTATGTGTATGGTGAAGCATTGTTAGTAGAACTGATGTAAGTGGCAAAAAGTGGTATTATGCTGAGGGAGAGCACAATGGAAATTTAAAATTGGAAGCTTGGTGGACAGGAAAGGATACATCGGAAGCTAAGACAGTGAGAAAAAAAATTTTTCTGCTAATTAAAAGGCTTGCTGTGGTTAGCACTAAAGTCATCATTAGGAATATGAAGTCATCTTTGACATAAATGAATGCTGGCACTTTTTAATGTTTTAGAAGTTTCTCTGCTCTGACAATGAAAAGTTGAAAAGATACAAGGTGCTGTGGAAACGCATGCTCATATATGAGATGGCTGAATATGGACAGAGATGACTATGGCTTGTGTCTAATATTCCATAAAAACCAGCATCCTCAGGTCAGTTCCCAGCTTTTGGAGTGGCTACACGGAAAGGAGGAGACTTAGTAACTGGGCAGTAAGATCATAAAGCATAGTCTCGTTTATGCCAAGCCTTTATAAATTCATTAGGTTCTGAGGTTGATGGACATCTTGACAAGATAACAACAACAACAACAACAACAACAACAACAACAACAACAGTACATTTAAGGAAAAGGATGAAGACCTCTGTATCACCACCCCTGCTCGTAGATACACTGAATTAGCATGCAGAATATTCCAGATAAATGTTTATGTTTTTGTCCCATCAATTACTGCAAATCAATCTTTCCTTCACCTTGGAATAATCCATTTGGTGTTAAAAATAGGAATGAATTTGAAAGCCCCCAGGGATAATTTCCTTGAGACACCAACTTTTCATTTTGAGCGAACTCAGAGAGTCAGAGCTGTAGTAGTAGATGTAACCACGATTCTTAGGCTGTTCTAGTAATGGAGAGTCAAAATAGGTAAAAACTAAAATACATTAATTGTTTATAAAGGCCAAATATATTATATCATAGTTGAAATAATCAGGAAAAGCTACAGTGAAATAAATTCCACTTGATATAAGAGATAAATGAGTTTAACACTCAGGTACAGTGAGATGCTTTAATTTTCATGTTACTGTTTAACTTAATCTTTTATTTAAAAATAGGACTCTGACTTCTAACCCACAGTTAAAGTTTTTTAAGCAATAACTACAATAGCAACAGTTTTTGTAGGCATAATATAATTTAAGACAGTAAGGGTGACAGCCACAAAATCTTCTAAAAATGTTTTATTAATTACTTGGTTTATCATAAAAATTATGAAATCTCCCTAAGCAGCAAAGAGAGATACAAGACAGAGACAGAAAGAAGACAGAATATTCCTATTACTAACATAGTAAATAATTTTCTAACTTTTCCATATACTGCAAAATAAGTTTGCACTTAATTGCTCTTACATGTTACGTAGTAAAATGCATCTGTTTCATAAGTGATTAATATCTATCTACTTTGTGCCTTCTTTTCATATTAATTTATGATCTACATTTATTATATACCCAGAATACCCAATTTCAATGTGTACCACAGAGCTGCAATAACCAAAACAGCATGGTAAAGTCATAATACCAGACACACAGATCAATGAAACAGACCAGAGACCCCAGAAGTAAACCTGTGCATCTACAGACAACTGAATCTTGACAAAGTCACTGAAAACATATATTGCACAAAGAGCCATTTTGATAAATGGTGCTGGTATATTACTCACCTTTCTGATGCTAGGAAGAAATATATGACACACACAAGTTAAAGGAGAAAAGATAAAACACATGGTGAAAAAATACATGGAAAATTAATGAAAATCAAAATAACAGTCAGTTATCAGGTCACCCCAGTTAGAATTGTTATTACCAAAAAGACAAAAGTAAATGCTAGCTACACTGTGCAGAAAGGGAGATTTTCTCATTCATGGTTGGTGGTCATATAAATTAGAACCGTATGAAAATTTATTTAAAAACTAAAAGTCAATCTCTATGACCCAGTTATCTGATTTTGGGGTATATATCCAAAGAAATGAATTCAGCATATCAAAAAGATATGCTGCATTCCAATGCTTATTGTCACACTGTTCACAACAACCAAGAAATAAAGTCACCTAGGTATCCATCAGTGAAAGAATGTATAAAGATTTCATACATATACACAATGCAATAGTATTCAGCCATAAAGAAAAATAAAATCCTGTAATTTTTAATAAAATGGATGGAATTGGAGGATATTATGTTATGTGAAATAAGCCAGACATAGACCAAATACTGCAAGTTCTCTGTCACACGTGGAAGCAAACAAAAGTTATCTGAATATAGACTAATAAGTAGGGTCTGGGAAGAGTGGGGTGATGTGAGGGAGTATAGAGGAAGGTTGAATAACACATTTCAATAGAAAGAATAAGTTCTGTGCTGTGGCGCCCATGTAAACCTACTATATATTTTATGAAATTCTAGAAAAGTGCTCAAAGGGTTCCAGTATAAGAAAAATAAGGAGATGCAAAGCTAATTGCCCTGATATGCCCAGTGCTTTCTGTGTATATACCTTGAAATATCACACTGTGCCTCACAAATGTGTCCAATTATTGCACATTAATAAAATTTAGAATGTAAAACCGAATGCTTTTACTTCACAGAAAATCTCTTAGGATGTTTTCAAAGATTACACATTAAAAAGCATGAATTTTTTCATGAAAGAAAATTTCATTGGAAACTTTAAGACTCCTGTAAGATCATAAGAAAACAACTTAGCAAAAAAAAATCTTTAGAACAACTTTCAGAACAATGTGCAATAAAAAACATATGAGGCAACGGGAATGGGTTAAAATGGAAATAGGACAGGAACATAACTGGCAGGAAGCAGAAGGATGTGCAACTTGATCTAGGATGGATGTAAGATGCAGTGTAGGTCCGTAAGGGCTCCTTCTGCATTTATTTCCCATGCAACTAGCACACTGTATGTGTTCACCTGTGGCAACACTAGACATTGTAGATCAGAGTTGGCCAGGTCAAGTTAGGAGCTTTTCTCTTTCATTCAATTACAATATTGAATAATTACAATAAAAACAAGATTTAAGGAGAAATTCAAAGGCTATCATATTATTTATAAAATGAACTTTTCTTAGATATCATTAAATTCTGTCCCAGGGCAATTAACAGAACTCATTTTAAATCGTCAACTTAGTATCCAAACATTTTCAAAACATCTGAATGGTGACTGCAAAAAAATTAGGTTTTTTTTCACCTGGCTGCTATGAGGGCAGCATTTATAAACTAGCTAGCAAGTGATGATTAACACACAAGTACTATTATAAACTCTATACATGCATCAGT